CTGTGTTTCTCCTGCAGAGCATCTGTGATTGGGCGGTGCCCTGCTCCCCATCCTGCAGTGTCTGCGAGCCACAGCTCTGTTTTTGTTAATTTAATAAACCTTTTTGAACTTTCCTACTGACTGTCTCTCCTTGAATACTGGGTTCATCTGTCCGCGTTTCATGACATAAATACCTTGGTGTTCACCTGGACAACAAACTAGAATGGACAGAGCAGACTGTACTTCCTCAGGAAGCTAAGATCCATTAGCATTTGCAGCAAGAAGCTGCAGATCTTCTATTAGTCTGTTGTGGAGAGTGTGATATCATCTGCCAGGATAACAGGAACAGAATAAATGACCTACAAAAAAGTCAACAAGAATCTCCTCTAGAATCTGTTCTAGAATCTCCTCCAGAAGCTCTGGAGATTATTTCTCAGAGAAGAATTCTTCATGAAGTGAAGAACATTATGGACAACAGTGAGCATCCTCTTTAGAGGATTCTTAAACAACAACAGTGTCTTCAGTCAGAGGCTTCTCCAGAACCGGTGCAAGACAGACCTCTACAGTAGATACTTCCTGCCTACAGCTATCAACACCTACGATACCTGTTTAAAATTAACTTATGAACATGTAATTTCCACTCTCTCTACTCTTTCATCTATCATTTTGGATTGAATTGAATTGAACTGAATTACAATATCTTCTCTAAATCCAAAACTCAAATCTAGTCAATGTATTTCTCTGCTAATATTAACGGTTCTGGTTCTAATTGTCATGAAAATCAATCCCATACTCATAACTGATTAAGGGCTGCAGAAGGAGCTCTGAGATGTAAACATGCGCACAGCAGAGCATCACATGAAAAAGGAGCAAGATTTCAGTTTTATCAGATAGTGGTTTGGAAAGTGCTGCAATGCCTTGGCTGCTGTTCCCATCTCTCTCTAGGTCTGTCAATTAGTGATAATGGACCCCATCGGCAGAGAGGAGACCACTCCCTCCCTCCCTCTCTGCTCTGCTTTCCCTCCCTCCCTCCCTCCCTCCTGCCTTCCTTCTTTCACACAAGCACACTTTCTCTCTCTCTGTTTGTCCTTCTTTCTAAATCCCAGTCAGTGATAATGGAGCCCGGCAGTCCAAAGAAGATCCAGTTTGCTGTGCCTCCTCTGCAGGGGCAGATTGACCCACAGGCCGCCGAACATGTGAGTTTATCTGCACAGCTTTCAGAGTTTTGAATGAGTGTGGGGGTAAGAGAAGGTTCATGCATGTAGAGGGGGCTGAATGAGTCTTCTTTATGGTCAGTCTTGTCTGGAATTTTCTGTGGGTGCAGAACTAATATGTGTGTGTTTGTCTTCTTCTAGTTTTGTGTGTTTTTGTTGGAGTTGAAAATATTTCCTCCACAATATTTTTTATTTTCTTGTAGCTTGTTTATTGCTTCCCTTAATAACCATAAAATCTTGAAGCATAGAAATCAGCAGAAAAGTCATGTTGCATCTGAATGAAGGCGGAAGGAAGGAACAAAAGCTGCTCTTTCATAAAGCTCTAAAACGTCGTCTTTAGGAGTTTGGTGAATGGAGGCCTGATGCCTGCAGAACCTGAACAGAGTCTAGTTTACCAGCAGTGTTGCTCTGAGAGGGTTACCTCAACATTTCCACACGTTAATAAAAGCTTTATGCGCCGCCATTTTGTCTCACCTTTAAGGAAATAACGAACATTTTACAACAGTTTATCACAACAAGTCTTGACCAAGCCCTCAGATGAGGGTAAAAAAACTTAATAAGTTCAATTCAGCTCAGTTTATTACTAAATCCTCAATTCACAACACCTCATCTCTTGGCACTTTACAGAGAAAATTCAATCAGATGTCATTGACTTTGCAGAATTTGATCCTCCTGGATGAGAATGTGGTGACAGTATTGCATTGTGATGCTCTTCAGCAATTCATCACACTGTGCATGCATAGGCAACAGCAGCTTACAGGTAAGAAAAGGTAACTGTAAACTAGCTCCAGGTCTAGAGTTAAACATACAAGCTGATTTTCATGTCAAAGGGATGAAAGAGAACACAGTAAAAGCTGAGCCCATATAGGAGAGAAACAGGACTAAGCACTGAAACACAGAGCAAACTTTATCATTTATAATCAAAGGTGTTGATGGCAGCAGCACAGCTGATATTTCTCTCCAGGATGTTGACAAAGCCGGAGAGAACGAGACCAGATAAAAATACCATGATGAGAAAAAGTAGACAGAGCATAAAATTAAAGGTTGTTGAAAAATTATAAAGAAAGACAGCTTAGAATCCTTCATATGCTGTCTCTGATCGCTAATGTTCATTTTTTTGGAGCAAAATGTGACTTGATATCTACCGACAGTCTCTCTTCTGTATGTTTGTTTCTAACACGAAGATATTTGACGAATGGACAGCGTTTGAAAAGATGAGTTAAACAGCTTCTAATATACACATCATGAACACAAGATTAATGAATTGAAGGTTTTTGGAATATTTTATTGGTTTTGATAAGGTGAGGAGAGGCAGCACTACTGTTACTCTTAGAAATCTCTTAAAAAAAAGGCTTGAGTTATTTTGTTTAATTATGGATTTACTTTCTAAGAACCAAATTTATCATCTGTGATCTTTCATGTGATAAAAGTTTTAATTCGTTCACTACTTTGTAGCCTGTATCAATAACAAAAAAATGGCAAAAGCTTTGATTTAAGAGGTTTGTCTGTGAGTCCTGTGAAGTTAGTAGCCTGGTGAGGAGAATCCATCAGAGCACTTTGAGTAACAATATGTGCTGGGTCACAGAATATGGTGTAACACCAGACCTTTTATCTGCGGCGATTGTGGGACGCTGTAGTTAACTTCACCAGATGAGCGCCAGCAGGCAAACGCTGCGACGCTGGAGGTCTGCAGGCTGCAGCTGAAACATCTTAACTGCTTCTGAGGGATGAACACAAATCTTTTATCATTTCATAAACTCTTTGATTAGGTTGATGTGAAAAAAGGGTCTTTATGTTGCAAAAGTCCACCTGGTGACAGTTAATATGGCATAATAAACTAAGAAAGAAAAAACTAAAGCTGGTAGAGTAGCGGAAAACAGAAATGTTCTAGTTATTGTTATCTCAACAGGGTGGTGGTAAGCAACACACACAGTCCCCCGATGTAGGTCCTATAGAACAGGGGAACCCAAAGAGGGATCAGGACACTCTGGGGGTCATGAGATTTTTTCTTTATCTATTAATTTGTTTTTGCAATCATGTGATGTCATACCTGAGGTATATGGAGGATTAAAATATATAACAATATACACTCACCGGCCACTTTATTAGGTACACCTGTCCAACTGCTCGTTAACACTTCATTTCTAAGCAGCCAATCACATGGCGGCAACTCAGTGCATTTAGGCATGTAGACATGGTCAAGACAATCTCCTGCAGTTCAAAGGTTCAGGCTGGTGGTGGTGGTGTCATGGTGTGGGGAATATTTTCTTGGCA